CTGTAATGGGGGTTGTCTGTAATGGGGGGGTATGTCTGTAATGTTCTGTTTCCCGTTGCTATGTGTCTGTAATGGGGTGGGGGCGAGGGGGAATTTGTTTATAACGATCTGTAATGGGGAAGCTCTGTGCCATGGAAACATATCCAGTAATGTATGGTTTTTTGTCATGTGGTTGCTAAGAAGCCATTGGAAAGCAGCCAGTTCTTCGCATCTCCGTTGCTAGGGTAGTGCTCAATGATCTTTGACCTTTGAACCCAGTTGCTAAGGCCTCTAAGGAGAGCCTGCGTTGCTGTGGTCTGTCTGTAATGGAGGGGGCCTAGGGAGGGGGGAGCGGGGAGCCGCGAAACCTCGACTTAAAACTTACACTCACTATTTTCTTCGAAAATATACGTGAGTTCCACAACAGTTCCTTCATAATAGGAACGCTTGGATCAGAATTCAAGCACATGAGCAAGAATATCAAGCGATAGGACAAGAAGTTCAAGAGATTGAGCTCGATAAAAGGTCTCAAGTCTTGTCTCAAGATTTGTCCATAGCACATGACTTTCTTGATCAAGATTCTCTAGTATCTCATGCGGAAACCAAAAAAGTTTGACTAGGAATCTGATCTATTTCACTATTTTCTCTTAGATACTGGATAAAAATGTGAATTTATGTTAAACATATTTTTCATATAATTATATTATTTGAAAATATAATGTTTGATTTTACAATCAACGTGTACCACATTGTGATAGAATACTCTACATTTCAATAAAATGTCTTTTCTATACTATTGCGTGTTTCGGTTCACTTAACTTACAAACTAATATATAATAGATATTTTTATACAGTTTTCGAAAAGCTATCAAAAGATGTCTTCGAAATCACATTTAAAACTAAAAGATTATCTGTCTGAAGATGGCAAACTTGATTTATCCATTCTTAATTCAAAAGCAGTTCCTAATATCAATGATATTGTACGTTTATTTTCATTTGATTTTTCTCATAATTCATTTTTTGTTTTGGTTATGTTTTCAGTTGGCTTTATGTAAAGTTAAATCAATCGATTTATCAAATAATCAAATTGAATCATTACCCGGATGTATTCCATTTTTTTTTCTTATATAAAATATATATTGACTTTTCTTCAATGATTTTTAGGATGATTTTATTAAACTTGAGGGTATTCATACACTTGATTTATCAAAAAATCGTCTCACAAAATTACCTGAAAATTTTGGTCAATTAAAATCTTTAAAACAACTCGATTTATTCGATAATCATATTACAAATTTACCACTTTCTTTTTGTGAATTAACAAAATTAGAAGTAAAATTATTATCTTTATTTTATATTAAGAATTTATTTTATTATTTCTATTTTACTTAGTATTTAGATTTAAAAAATAATCCTCTTGATGATGATTTACAAAATCAAGCTAGTAAATGTTTAAATAAAAAAGAATGTCGATTATGTGCTGAAAAAGTTCTACAATATATTGAAACACGTAAAGCAGAATATGAAAAAGAATAAGCTCAAAAATTAAAAAAGAAACAAGCAAATGAAAAAGCAAAAGCTAAAAAACGTGAAAAACAAGCCGAAAAAGAATGAGAAGAAAAACGTTTGAAACGTATTGAAAATGCCCAAAAACGACAATCAGAAAAGGAAAATCAAGAAGAAGAAATCAATAAAAATGAAGATGAACATTATGAAAATGAAGAGAATACAGAAACAAAAACTAATAATGAAGATCAAGCAGAAGGACTTTGTCAATATATATTTTTTAAATTAAAAAAAAAAACTTTCGTTTCTAAAAATAATTTCAATTTGTTTTAGTATCACAAATAATTGATGGTGCTCTCAATGGTCTTTTACTAAGTCTTATGATAGTTTTTACTTGGGAATTGTATCATCATCGCCAACAATCAATTAGTTTACTTGACTTTTACAAATATATTTGATACATAGACATGTTAATTGTTAGGTTTTTTTTCTCGTATTTTATGTGGGTGTGGGTGTGGGTGTGGGGTGTGGGTGTGGGGGGGGGGGGGGGTGTGGGGGTGGGTGTGGGTGTGGGTGTGGGTGTGGGTGTGTGGGTGTGGGTGTGGGTGTGGGTGTGGGTGTGACAGTTGTGAGTGTAAGGTGTGGGTATGGATGTGGGTGAACCTAAGACTCACACTCACAACCACACTCATACGCACACCTACGCAGACACCCACACCCCCCACACCAGCAACACACCCACGCCCAAGGTTCACTGCTAACGGAAACACAACTGCGTTCCTAAGTTCTT